TGTTTGTTACTGGTTTTGACTTTTTGGTCTTTACTCTTTTACACTCTTTTTCTTAATCAGCATAATCACAATAATCGTAATAATAATAATATTACTGATTGTAATGACAATAATAATAATCATATTAATTTCAATAACGACGATTACCTTAGAGATCAGAATTTAAAGAATACTGTCTTATTCAATTCGCAGCTGTGTTAATCGTTTATTCAGCCAACAAGGTAATAACAATGAGACAAACGTGTTACATTTTTGTTTTTGTTTTTGTTTTTTTCTTTATTTTTAAAGGTACAATCTGTTATAGCGCGAATAGAAGCTTGCTGTTAAGTGTCGCAAAGATTGAACGGCGACAATTATCAGCAAGCAATCAGAATATTTCACCAGATTTTAGTAGATACTTACAATTAGTTGCACCTCTTACAGGTTTTTTTTTCACCTTACTGTTTTATTGTTAATATCGAGTGTGTTTCCGTCAAGTATTCTGTTTCTTTTCAAGTTTGAACTTATTTACGTGTGTACTTTTTTCAGTTTTGAATTTATTATATATATGTGTGTGTATATACATATATATATATATATACATATACATATATATTTATTTATTTTTTTATGTCATTTTGGTATGCCTTTGGTGACGGGGTTACGAGTTCCGAAATTTGGAATCAGCGCGGTTGCGTTAGCTTCGTTTTTAACGTTCGCGGTGCTAGTACAGTTAAAACCATTCGCGCGAGAACTATGTAGGCGATCGTTCCAAATATTTATTCGTTCGGGCCGTAGCCAGCGTATAGAACTCGCCGCATCTGCGCCACGAGATTTTGGTATTTTTCGGAACACGTCGGCGTTTATTGGCAGCCAATCGCTTCGAATCATTTCGATTTTCATGTACCGATAAGGCACAGTTAGACAGTGTGAAAAAACAACGGGAACAGATTAACCGTACACGATGGAATTACGTTGAATTATAAACAACACGGCCGATTCGTCGAAGCGGTGGATCTTCCGTGTTTTTCACCAGAAATCGACCCGCTCCGCCGCGAAACACGACAACGTTCATTAATTTTTCATCACAGCAATCGATTTTATCGCGGTTTACCTCGTTTGGCCCGGCCGGATTCTTCTGGCGAGCGCTGAAATTCGTGGAGATACCGAACCGTATCGAAACAATGATGTATGTACTTACTATACAGAGTGTTCCTCTTACTATGAGTTACCCAAATATATTTCCAGTTATGATATAGAAAGTATTTCACATATAATTTGAATGATAGAGTACAAATACACTGCGAAGATTATTTTCCAAGATCATTTTTTTAAGAAGTATTTAAGATTACTGATCATTTTTTCTTTTTTTACGCAGTGGCGAACAAAAGAAAGTTTATATGGTTTTGGATATTAGAAAAATAATATTCTTTTTACAACATAGAACCATAATTTATACAGTAATGGATTTTTTCATTAATACACATATCATATGAAATAATAAGTGTTTTTTTAAGACAGTGAAGAACGTACAGAAACTAGATGTTTAAAAGTAAGTTTAACTACTTTTCTGTACGATTACAGTTCATAAAGAAAACCACATTCATCATATTTCCACAAGTATTTATATTTTGTATGGCTTCATTTTATTATATATTATAACTTTTTAACTTGTTTAAATATTGAAAAAAGATGTTACGTTTGATGTAGTTCATTTAAAATAGTCTGAAAATATTCAATGGAACTAGGATGATTTTTTTACGTTCTTGACAAAGAATAAAAAGTGTAATTAGGGTTTTTATCTCGTTGGAAAATAAATTTATTTAAGTATGATTTGAAAACATTATCGAATTAGAATGGAGTTCAAGGGTTTATTGAATACTTTGCTTATCGAAGGTATCACATGATTTACGTTTGGTATTTGTAAGCCTAATAAACAGTTTCTTTTTGTTAAAGTAACTTTTTAATCTCTCCATTCTTTAGTGTATTCATTTCACGATATTTTTTAGTTTTCATAATTCAAACCTCATACATGTTTGTAATATTTAAAAATGTTTAATATCCTACCTCTCACTATTAACTGCTTAATAGCCACAGATTTTTTATTACTCACAGAGACGTGTACTTATAAGTGCCAGTGAAACTGTTAAAGTAAAGAGAGCAATTGACAAATAGTCAGTGTTATATAATATTATTATTATGATATAGAAGATTTTAAATTCGCTACATGTGCCAAATAAAATTTATTAACTCATCTCGCGAATACAGTTGTATAAAGAAAAATGACGTTCACGTGTTACAAAGTAACGAGATGTGTCGCAATAGATGAGCATTAAGAACGTGATAAGAGGTGTCTAATATAGAAATTACTAATACTCATATACGCAAATGTTAATTTTAAACTTCGTTACGTTCACCACTTCAGTATTTCTTCTCTTATATATTACATCAATAAATTCATGAGTATCAAAACTTATTGCTTAAAAACTCCGAGAGTAATGACTGTGGAATATTAATATTCTTTCTGATGTATTGGTAACCTAATATTATTCAAATTGCGTATGAAATGTTTGTTATATCATCACCACTCTAGGAGATATTTAGGTAGCTTATGTTAGGTAAGACCCTCTGTATAGTTGAATTACGTGCTATACATACGTCGTTATGAAAGGTACGGAACAATTGAAAGTTCATTAATTAATGACTCGTTTATTTATTTGTAACAACCATCCACGGGAGTTTTGTAATCTCGTCTGTTTAACACCGACGCGATACATCGAATAATTTTCGATCGTGGGTGAAAGGGAGAGACTTACTAACGCATTGATAGTTGGTGTACGACATGAATTTTGTTTAGATAAGATGAATTATTCGTCGAGTGTAAAAGCTCCGCTAACCATTATATTAATTAATAACCTTGTGTGTGTGATGAAGGCTTACACTACACTTGGTGTCGCTATTGGTGTTGTATTTTTTGGTGTTGTACGTGGTGGTTTTTGGACTTTAATATAACATGGTGTACTGTTTATTCTTAGAAAACGAAAGATAAAAGAAATTTATTGAATATTGTGTTATACGTACACATGTGTGTATACTTTGCATCGTCATGCAAAGTGAAAATTCAGTATCTACCGAATGTTCAGTCGACTATCTAAAGGAATAGTATATTTTATTAATAACTTTAGTCTCCGAAAAAATGTTCGAGAAATTCGAAATACAAAATTTGCACACAAGATTTTCTCGAGTTTAAAATAAGAAACGGGAGATACCTTGCACTTTCTTATAGAAATTGTTGTTGGTATTTTAGAAATAGTGGAATCATATCCGTTTATGAATATTATGCAGTCTAATGAGATCGCACGCAAAGATTTACTTAAAATTGCGCCAGAAAGTAGGTAATCTGAAACAGAAAGGTTTTATAAAAATAAAAAATTGTATGCATTAGTTGATGATTAGAAGTATATATTCAATCTGATTAGATATTATGCTGAAATGTATTTAGTACTTTAATTAACCCAGTGCCTCAAGTTATAAAAATACTTTTTGCGTACAGTACATAACAAACTCTAGATCACTAAAATACTAAATTATCTACAATGTTTTTACTATTATTTTACAAGAAACAATAATAAAATGTTTAAAATAATTAAAAAGTTAACAAATACTACAATTAAAAAAACTTATTCACATAATATTTATTTTCGAACATTATTTGTATTTCAAACCCAAGAAAATTTGTTCTATTAATTGACCATAGAAATGGTACAGTTAGATTTTTCATTCGAAATTCATCGTGCTATATAAAATAACATTCGCCCAGATTGCTCCATTTCCGTATTCGCGAACGATAAGATTCCATCTTAGCCTAGGACGTTAATTTCAAACACGAACATCTTCGCGGATCATCAGTATTCGAATCCGACGACGAGGCTATCATTTACGTCGAAC